AACAACAACAACAACAACAATATAACATGCAGAGAAAGCAAGATTTTAAGAATTACAAAACCGCTATAACCACAAACCTTCCGATGAATCAGAGTCAGATCTTCTTTCTTCAGCTCCGTCACTACACCACGACTCATCCAGCTTGCTATTCCCCGAGACTTCACTTGGAGCTTCAAAAGCATTCAGCTTCATAAGTAAGTCTTCGCTCTTCTGTGCCTCGATTATCGGTCTTTTACTTGCTTGGTCGCTCAAACTTTCGTCACTCTCTGATGGCATGTCATTCTCTTCTGCCACTTCCAACCACGAGTTGTAGTACCTTGAAATAGATAGAAATAAAATATCATAAAGAGAGTCGTAACAGGCACTCCAGAACATTCCTGGATACACCGCCTCAGTAGGCTTAGAATAACGGGCAGTCAGTCACCACTACAAGCCAAATTAGTTTTCGCTCGGTAATACCTCGTTTCTGGCTCCATGTTACTGTTCAAAATGACCGGCAAGACAGAGATGTCGGGCAGTTATTTTAAGCCCTGTTCAGTAACACTCAAGTGGAATCTTTACCTCACAACATTTTCATGGTTTAGTCTTGAGATAAGTTGAACTTCTCTGGTAATCTTACGATTGAGATTAAAGTTTTGTGGATTCCATGGGATTCTTTTGATGGCGTACAGACCTCCGTCCAGTTTATTTCGGACCTGGAATTCGAGAAAATATATACAACAACAACAACATCTTTATTTGGCTCTACTTAAAATTACGTTATTTACAGCTTTAACTAGTGAAAAGGGAGAAAATATGTGGATGGGCGCCAGATATTTCCTATAGGCCTTTTGAGCTTGAATGTAATTTTCCATTTCGGATCACGTCATTCCTTTTGGGAATAAGATTTTTTGTTTGTGAACCGTTAAACAAAGAAAGGATACTCTAGGGAATGACACGTGGTCTGAAATGGGAAAACATTACGCCCCCGTTAAACAAAGAAAGGATACTCTAGGGAATGACACGTGGTCTGAAATAGAACAGCATTACGCACACGATAAGTTTCATTTTCGTTCAGCTATTTTACACTTCACATGTATTTTGCTCTGTATCTCAACATTCCTAACTTAATTTCTGTTTGACCTAGCAAATTAGCTCGGTTAGGATTCTTTTTGTATAAAGAAAAAGCCAATAAACCAACAATTCAACTAATTGAGACGTTAACATGTTTATCCAAAAGACAAAATATTTCAAGAATCTTGTCAATCTTGTTAATTTTCCCAAGCCTACTCTGTTTTTCTCAAGGTTAAAGTAAAACAATTGAAATTTTTCCTACCTTAATGACATTTCCAAATCCTCCTTTACCAAGAAATTCAAGCTGTTCGAACTCGGACTTGATGCGGGACTTTCCCGGGACACCCGAGAAGAATGTGAACTCCGGGACTGGAGGTTGAGGCTCGTCCACTTCTGAAATGCTGCTTAGAAGCTCTGTTGTCATAGCAATTTTCTCACTGCTCTCGCTGCCGCCATTGGCATAGCTGTTGGATGAGCAAGGCAATACAAATGGATGAAAGAGAAGCTGATAGGCGGATAGGCGCTCCTTTTCACTTGTACACAAACACCTGTAACAATATAACACATTCTTCGCGTCAGTTCATGTTATGCCAAGAGAGTATAATCTCTTTTATGCACAACTGTATCTGGGGCGGATGCAGGAAAATTCGGGTCTTTCTTGGTGTAGCAATCTTTATCGTATTCTGGGTAAGGGTTGTTATTGTCTTCAAGCCTCAGGTGCCTTGTAACACCAAGAACAATTAACAAGAAATAACCAAACCTCGTTTCCAGGGCCTTCTCTTCAAATAGCGAGAAGAGAAGGACTGACAACGAGAATGGAAAGAGGCGGAAATTCCAAACGGGGGCTTGTTTAGTATTGTCATCTTTTTTTACAGCACTCGTTAAAGAATTCACGCAAGTTACTTTTACAAGAAATAAATTTTGAAAATTCCTCGAATACACTTAAACACATTTTCTTACTTTGATAAGAGGTCTTGCAGGTCATTTGGTGCAGTGTCCGGTATTTCAGCTACTGCAGCTGTGATTGTTTCGCCCTTGAACAGAGAAAGCACCAGTAAACCCTGTAAAAGAAAACAACAATCATTGGAGGAGATTTAGGAGGCTTACCCAAACAAATTTAACACGCTAGCTAAGTTGACCTTCAGAACGAACTCAAGGTGAACCAATGAGAATTGAAAAAAAAAATTCTCATGATTCTGCCAAGAGAATCCATGAAATACGCATTCTTCATACTTTGAATTTATCGTAAATGCTAGTCGAGCTCACGCATGATGAAATGCCATTTTAATGGAAAAGATTTTACTGGCTAATAAAGAGATAATAGATAATACTCCTACAAAATGGAAAAGAGAAAACTGCATTGTACTCAGTCCCTGCTCGGAAAATGCTAACCAAAAATAGTTGACCCAAAATTCCTTTCGGGGAATGCTGTCAACTCAGCTGACGTACTGTACTCTACTGAAGAAAAAAGGTTCGGAAAAGGGTAGAGTTTAGTAACGAGTAAGCAGCTCGACTTGGAATTTTGGCATTCGATTTTACAGAAGGAGAAAAAAACGGAGAAAACCCCTGGAACAAAGAGAGAGATCCAAGGAACTCTGATCAAATGTGATGCCGAGACCTCAGAGGTGAGAAGAATATGTACAATACTCTTGTCTCACCATATCATAGATGTCTCCTTTTTTCCCCGATCTTGTCGACGTGTTAGGTGATGACCCTGATTTATCTGCACCATACTCTTGATATAGCTCCTCCAATCTATGAACAACAGATTGAATCTAAAGGTATTCGTTCGCTGCCTTTGCTTGTTTGCGCTTTGGTTCTATGCTATTAATTTCTTCCAGTTTTCTTTGAACTGAACCTTCCTTTTATTTCTTATTTTACTTCTCTTACACGAGGGGATATCGCGATTACTGCTGCAGATTTGGTATGAAAGAAAAGAAAAAAAGTTACGGAAATACCTTACACCAAAAGAAAATGAAATAGTACACCTGACTGAGTGATGATACATAGGTATGAGTTCATTAGCGAACGACATCATAGTTTCTTATGACTCACGGTCAAAAGTCAAGACACAAAGCACGGCCACAGTACAGGATGGACATCTTCAATAAACCAATCACAGCACGCGAGAATACTACTGGCATCCAATCAAAATCAAAAGTCAAGACACAAAGCACGGCCACGGTACAGGATGGACATCTTCAATAAACCAATCACAGCACGCGAGAATACTACTGGCATCCAATCAAAATGTTTTGTCTTAGCGCAGCCGTGGAAAAGGCACGGCACGTGTTACGTGAGTTTTGCACATCGCAGGAAACCTACTCCTGATCAACGCTATTGGTTCRTAAAAACGTGGTAAGTCTCCAGAACGTACCCTTTTACAATACTGTAGTTAGCCAGTTTGATCTCGCCACTTGCATCTAAATAGCAGTTAGAGAGCTATAAGAAAGAAAGAGTACATAAAAAATGAAAAACCTGTTGCGGGGGACAAGTTTTTTTCTTTACAACAGAGTTCTAAAATCAATACAGAAAAAAGCAACGAGATAAAAACTATTTTTTTCAATGTTGGTTGCGAAATTTTACGAGATACCTACATATGAATCTACATACGACCATATTATCTTTGTAAATTTTGCAATTTTCAAAATCCTGTAACTCTAAACCTACCAAGATATTGCTAAGTATGACTTTGAGATTTACTAAATGTGAGATTTTAATTTGATTTCTCGTATTCGTATGTGTATGGCTCTCAAAACACCTCATATTGCTGGTTTTCAAACATTCCCAGGAGAAAGAAATACACTGTAACAAAAGACATGCCGGCCATGCTGGATGATATAACAAAATACTCTTTCGTTAAATTCACCCAACTTGGCGGCTGTGAAAAACATCAATAGGATAGAAAAGTACCTTGAGATTCTTGTGAACGACTGACTTCCCGTGCAGATACCACAGAACATCCAGTAACTGAAAAGTGTACTCTCGGATACAATCCACAGGGATCCCGCCAGGTCTTAACTGCATCTCAAGGTTCCCACCACCAACATATTCTTCGAGAAGCTGTCAGAAAGGCTTGTTAGTCAAATCTCGAGTCCCTTCAAAGACGTTTAGATGTTATCTCCTATGTTTTGTGGCTTCCATTCATCAATTGTATGAGTTAGCAATATTTTATTGATGGAAGCCATCTCACACTTTTGGAGAATGTTAAGTTGGAAAAAATGTGTGACATAGCAGTGAAACATTTGACTCAATGCCATATTTTTGTGGGCCCGTGGTTGAAGCCTAAACTGTGGTTGAACCCTAAACTGTTCGGCATAAACCAGATGTGTCCCACACCTATTCCCATCTTTTCATTAAGTTATGGAATTGACAATATGCCCAGTATTGATAAAGCCCAGGGGCCGGTTGTACAAAGGGTGGATAGCACTATCCAATGTACAAATGCTTATCCAGTGGATAAGTCAATGCTGTTATGCAATACATTTATCCACTGGACAATATTTCTCTCTCGCACAGTGCTATTCACCTGTCGTACAACCACGCCGAGGATCACTACTTAACCAATGACTGACTAGGGACAGATTTATCCAGGTTAATTCTGAATGTGTGTGTCATGGTCATGGCACGGCACCTCCATATACCTTGAGGTTTAACATGTATTGTGTTGCATCAGTTTCATACCTGCACTGTCACTGTTGGCTGAAGGTTTGTAACTTTCACGGCAAGAATATTGACAAGATGGTCATGAGTTATTCGGGCTATGAGAGAAGCAATTTCTTGTTCAATTCTCATCACCTAGGAATCAAAATATGATGGCCATTTACATTGTATAATCACAGAAAGAAATCACAGGAATGAGAAAAATGGTTCATTAAGCTCATAAAAAATCTTCAGGACAAAGCTCCAATATCACACTACTCCTATTCCATCCAACAATCGCATGCACTACTAGATTGTTACTGTCTTCCTTCTTCTGAAAAGTGAACAAATTTACTCACTTGTTTCATGAGTTTCCCAACAGTATCTTGACCACCAGTACTGTCAGCCCAGTGAAGACTTTTAACAGCAGTTTTAGCTGGTGCAGTTGAATGGCAGACCAGTTTCCATTCTTTCATTGTTACAAGATCCCCAGTCGATGTATCCAGTCCACTAAACACCAAACACCCACTGGATTCCTGACCTAGAACATCAAGACATCATTAGTCTGCTTATATCTATTCCTAACAATGCGATAGGTTGATTCAACTGATTACTTCGTCGAGTATGTGCAGTAAGAAATAAAGGCTCTGGATATGAGATTGCAAATGAAGAGTACGAGAATCATTCTTTGAGCAGAAATGTGGTATGAAAATGGTAGAAATTCTTTGATAGAGTAAATGTATGACATTGAACCATCGTGATTCCTGACATAATCTGAGCCAATTACAGCACATGAAATAATTATTTAGCCAATGAAAATGCACCAGCATGGTGCCGTCATGGACACGGCATCATACCATGAGCTTTTTTTGTAAGTCATATCAAATTCACTCTATCTATTAACTAACCTACGCATTTCCCTAAATGCACCAAATGCTCTCCCTTATTCACAAACATCACTGTYTGACTTCCAGAGTAACTGCGAATCTCAGAGCTTTCAGAGCTGTTTCTTCGTCTTTTCCAAGAGCTATTGCTCGGGGCTGGAGTTTCAAACTTGCTAGACTGATTTGCAGTACGCCTTGCAGTCAAAGTTGAATCTTTACTGGGACTCATGGTCTCTCCGTCCCTGGTTTTGATACTCTGTGATAGTGCCTCTTCTTTATCACGATTACTCTACGAAAAATATAAATTCATTRATGACTGCATGTACAATGTCATTAGAGACCAGCTTTGGTGTCCTGTGTTTAAGCAAGATTCAAATAATAGAAACCACATTACCAGTAAACTTGATCTTTTCTTTCTGCTTTCTTTCATCATCTCCTCTCTTCTTAGTAGTTCCTCTTCAATTTGTCTTGCCTGCAAAAAAAGTTTGTTTTGGGTTTCAAATGTCAATCAAATTGCTTGGAAGTCTAAATTGTTTGAAAATCTAATAGTACAGTATGTGAGACTTTTACTATACCTGTACTCAGACATCGCTCTAAAAGAAGGACTTTTGGATGATCAAGGTTTGCATTTCTTCATATTATTGATGTCAAATGGGAACTTGAAATTTAGGACATTGGGCAGAAGTTTTGTTCCCTTTCCCTCCCCTCGCATTGATTATAGACCAGGTTAGTTGATATTCAGTGTCAACAAGGGTGGTTTACCAACATGAAGGGGTTGTACAAAAAAGTCTTACATTAATTAATTGTTCATTCATTCTTTCACTGATTCATTCATTCACTTATCCGTTCAACCATTAAACCATTCATTTATTCATTCATTTAATGATTTATTCTCTACTCCATGCTTTCAATTATTCACTCATTTATTCATTTATTCATTGATCAATGTGAAGGTTGTTATGTCTTGAAAGGTTTTTAATGAACGCTCATGAAGAATAGGTTTTACAAGAATGACAAACTGTCCCTAAAAGTCCTCAAAGCAAATGGTCTGACGTCACAGATAAAGTCCCGTATGTGACAACCAGAAGTGGCTGTTCCTAGGCAGGTTCTAGTCTAATATATAACAGAGATGAGGTTGGAAATTAATTTTTCCGAATTTAATTCCAAGGGTCTTTCGCCCGGAATAACCTCGTTCCCAAGCACTATAACTTATCTATATTTCTATATCTTAATATATAACAAAGGTAATTAGTAGATAATGCACATACCTCTTCAGCACTAACAAGTTTATCAGCTTCTTCTTGTTCCTGTAGTTTTTGTAGCTTTTTAGCCTTGACACGCTCTTCTTCTTTCTTCTTGTTGGTCATCATTTCATCATAGAAAGACAAGCGCGGCTTGTTGTGGGAGTGTAGGAATGTTTGCACAAGATGTGCCAAGTGATGAGCCATAACCTAAAGAATGAAAAAATATCACAGTAAACCTCTAGCAATATTCCAGCCCCTATGCTAACCTGCTTAGTAATAACCTCTTCATATATTCTAATATATAGTACATACCTCTCCAACAAGTTCTGCTGCTTCACATTCTAGCTGTGTCTTCAAACCTTGAAGATCCTCATTTGAAAGCCCAACAGCTTTTTGAAGTGAAATTATTGGACTCCTAAATTTTATTAGAATTATAATAAGAGAAATTGGTTTGAACCCAGAATTATTATCATAATATGGTTATAAAACGTACTTTAAAAAACAATTACTGGTAACTGTCAAACTGTCAATTACTTTTGAATATCTAATTCATCTTTTTTTCTATGGAAAAAATGCTCTGGGCTGATCTACATCAGGGCAATTATAAGCTAACACCCAGTTGGATTTAAAACTAATTAAGTATTAGTTTAATTACAGATCAAACCCTGAAACAACTACTTGGCTTATCAAAGCCAAAGGAAAGCTTAACTACAGATTGAAATGGAATTCAGCTTGATAGGTTATGTAGAGAGGGGAAAACTGAAGAAAAATTCTTGAATTGAGAGAGAGGCCCAACAAATTCTACTCACAAGTGATAACAAGTAAAGAATCAAACCTTAGAGGAGAGAGGCAAATGCAACTACCCTTTTTGGTTCATTACCATGGATCACTAATGTATCTTAATTACTGGACAGACATTACCATGGATCACTAGCGTATCTTACTGGACAGACATTACCATGGATCACTAGTGTATCTTACTGCACAGACATTACCATGGATCACTGGCGTATCTTACTGGACAGACATTACCATGGATCACAAGTGTATCTTACTGGACAGACATTACCATGGATCACGCTAGCTAGCTAGTGTATCTTACTGAACAGACATTACCATGGATCACTAGTGTATCTTACTGGACAGACATTACCATGGATCACTAGT